CAGGACCCAGAACTGACCCCTGTGGAACACCTTTATCAAATGCTAGAAAATGTGATTGGATATTTCCTGATGTTACACATTGTAATCTATCAGAATTCTGGAACCATTTACAAGAAGTGGAGTCAAATCCAGTATTACAGAGGGTCTGAATGAGAAGACCGTGATCAACAACTAACGTGACAGCAGAGATGGTACTGTGCTTCGGTCTGAAACCACACTGATGAGGGTTTAGTACAGTATGGAATAACTTGAGAGAAATGTTTGGAGTTGGTTGTTTACCAGTGGTTCCATGATGAAGGCCCCATGTGGGTAAACAGAAATAAAGGGCACTTATATAAGCCTCAATAAGGGCCCACATTTGAAGATAAAGCCCACTTGGAAACTATCCAGTATTACTATTATGTCTATGCTAGATTCTATTCTACATGTTGTGGTCGCAAACTCAAGCTCACTTAAAAGCCCCCATTTAGCCACTCAGCCAATGCCCAGTGAAAGTCCACCTAACCCAGGTAAGTACATCTGGGCCTGACTCTTGACATGGTAGGAATTGATAAGAAAAAGAAAAAAATCCTGGTCTGGTTTAAGCAGATTTAGCTTTTCTTGACGATGATAATATCCCAACAGCCAAATTATTGAATTCAAATTGAACATGGATTACAACAATACTTATAATTTATTCATGCTCACGTATAAAATCAAAGTAATTGCATGCATGAATATTGGTGGGATTTCTTCAGTATTACAGCTTGCACCAAATTGTTTGGTGTAAACCTCAAGGAACTAAAATGTTCCTTCTCAGTCAACAAACTGACCTTTCTTCTGGAGCAGACAAACTCTCCATCTGGGGAGGGAGCAGCTCATAAATTACTGAGAGGAAATTGAACCATGATTCACACAGAGCTGTAGATCTTCATGATTACTTTCCTTATTACTAAAACGTATGGCTCTTCCATGTAATATATGTCCTATGTTTGGAAGAAACCCACAGGGCCTCAGTAATGGACTCTGAAGACTACACTATACTTTAACAATGACTGGGTCCATTTACTTTTCTCTGTGTGAATGCTGCTGGTCTCAGCGCTTTCTGTTTCCAGTTTTATCATTTTATTAACTGCATTTTAGGCACTGGTTTTCCAGATGAATGAATGGAAAATTATATAAAAATTACCGACATAGATAGTATTCTGACAAAGACATGTTCACTGTATATTAAAGATTTCCAGAAGAAATAGGTGTAGAACAAATATTAGTCTCTTTTGAAGAATCATTTTTAGTGTAGGGTTGAATTTTTATTCTTGGTGTTACATATTGATTCTCTACATAATGTTGTGTTTTCTTGTCTTAATTATAAAGCTCTTTGCAACCCATTTTTGAGAAGTGCTATATAAATAAAGTTAGTATTAGTTATTATTTATCTCAGGATTTTAAGAAAAGTCAGAATAAAATTGTTTTCCAGTGGCCCTTATCCTCTTCTGTACTATCTAACACCACAATAAGCATGCAAAATCACCAAGTTCTGTGTTCAGTTTCTATATGTGTGTGTGACAAAAGTGCTACTATATCAGCTGTAGGACTATGATGGATTCCTTTAAGCTAGCTAAGCATGCTGAAGAATGATCGGGACTCCAGCATGTCTTCTGACCGGCTGAAGGCTAACATAACTGACAGTGACGGCAATGACAGCTGACGTCCCACACGCTGCATATTACATGAAGAAAAGAAAATGACTCAAATAGTGTGTAAAATCTCAGGGGGATAGGTCTCCAGAGAGTATCAGGATGAAGATATATGTGCTGCTGGTGACAAGCATCTGTCAATCTCACGCTTCCATTGAGAGGTGTTTTTTTTTTACTTTCATGTGCTTTATTGTCTCCCGAGCTATTTTATTTTACAGCTCTACCTGAATTTAAAAGGATTATTTTTCAGTTATCTGTTGACTTTGAAGTAATATATACACTGAAAACAAAAAGTTAGTTGTACTTCGAGTCTATTAAAATGTTGTGTTAACTCAATAGTATGCGTTTATGTCACCTCAACTAACTGAAAGTTTTCCAACTTTGAAAAGTGATTCACATTAACTTAAAAATGGCAAGCTCTGTCGAACCCTCCTTGCTCGCAGAGACATCTGTTGTTAGTGCAACAGAGGGCGCAGTTGTTATTTGTGCTAATCTGCACATGGGATGGAACATTGTCACAAGGCTTGAGCACTTTTAAAAAAATATGTGAAGTGCGGGTCCTCTACTACTTCATATGTGTGCATGTTGTTGCTGGTAGTGACAATAATAATAACGAGGATGCGAATGATGATGTTGTGGAAGAATATTTTAATCATTGTTATAACTCTCACGAGAGAGAGTTCTCCCGCAGCCGCCCTGTCCCTCACACACCCCTGAGACTGGGGGCGAGGGAGAGCTCTCCCTCGCCCCCAGTCTCAGGGGTGTGTGAGGATGTGGTACAAAGCACATTTGTGTCATCTTAGCCGAGTTTTTCGGCCACATGGGTTTAGTATGGCCTTCTAAGTCCACATAGATAACAAATTAACTTTTTGCTAGAGGGTTTTGTTGTCCTGCTAGCTGGTTGGTCATTTCACTTACTTCTTGGATGCTTTTACCTTTTGCTGGATCCATTTCCCAAAGAGCTCCTTGAACCTCACATACAACTCTCATCAGGGTTGACGTCCAGGGAGCAGAATCTTTACCTGTAAGTCTCAGGTTTAATATCATTTTTAGCAAGAAGGGCAGACTTTACTCTTTCATAATTAAGAGAGTCATCAATGTCCATATGAACATAAGAACCTCTAGCCTTACCAGTAAAAAGTGGTATTAAGTGAAAAACCCATCAGCTCTCTGCCACCTGCATGCTACAGCAATATGTTCAAATGTGATGAGGAAGTGTTCAACGTCGTCATTATCAGACAATTTATCCAACCTGGGCTCATGGTGTGATTGAAAAGGACCTTCACAGGCCTCAGCTTGGGCAAAAGGATAGTGCATGGTAGTCAATGGAGCCTCCACAATTGATGGGTCAGAGTATCAGGTAATGGAGTTGTTCTGGCTTGAAATTCTACCTGCAGAAGCTGAAACTGATGTTGAAGTGCTTTAAAGTGCTGTTCTTGCCTTGCAGTTAGCCTCCCGGGCCTCTTGCTGACCCATGTGGGCCTGGAGAATGGACATCAGGTCTGACAGAGTTGGCTCCTTACCTTCACCCTCAGCGCTTCCTACCACCTTAGAAGCACCATTGTCTTCCTCTTCATCGCTGGCTTGCCTTTCCTGGGTATTCACTGGGCGGCAAGCCCTCCTTTGTTACGTCCACTTTTCTCGCCACGATGCATTTATTCTCCTTTCAGGGGAAACGGTACAAAACCAAAAAAAATCCAAAAGTTTAAGAGAAAAAGAAAATCCTGTGTCTTTCACTGAATGATCCCACCAATTCTTAGGGACCAAACAGTAAGGCGACAGGAGTAAGAAAAAGTGTTTTTTTGTTTTATCCCAAACCGAGTTTACAAACCAAATTATAAGAATAAAAGCTGTCAACTTAATATCACTTCAAATCAACAAGATGAAAACTAAGATATGAACTCAAAAAACAAAAAAAAAACTTAACAGGAGAACTTATATAGTGTCAAACTAAGTGTGTAAGCAGTTTGTATTCCTGTGTGGCTCTGGCCATCACAGGGATCAAATGAAGGTTTCCATTTCTTTCGCAGACCACCAGAACTGTCCGTCCAGGCAAACATCAATGACGTCCACATCAGTTTTGAAATGCAAAGTTTGTGACTCATCAGTCATCGTTAACAGAATCAGTTAAATTAATTATTTTCAATAGGTATACAGAGGAGGAGAGATTGCGATATGATGATGTACTGAATTTTTGGCCAGAGAAATCAGTATGCACTCAAGTGTAGTAGATGTTTCAAAAACAGCCTAAGAATTTGTTGAACCTTCTTTCTGATACAGTGAGTCAGAGACGAGAGGAACTTACTAAGATGACCAAAGTGAAGAAGCAGCAGGATGGTTTGATCACTCTGATCAAACCAGAATAACGTCTTATCAGAAACAACAATACTACAGTTTGAACCACTGGAGGAGGAGAGACTGGGATCTGCCTGTACCTGAAAAAAAAAAAAACAGCATTTCCACAATTACAAATCAGCACACTAGTGTTCACATTGATCGATTGCTCTTTATTGTCAAACAAAGTCTGAGTCCCTGCAAACCAAAGCTTGGAATTTGGAAAGGTGCCATGTCACTTCCTGAGTACTGCCAAGGTGTCTCTGAGCAAGGCATCAACCCTCCCAACAGCTCTGGCAATGCATGTCCATAGAGCCTGTTTGCGCATGTGTGTAATTTGTTCCCATCTGTGTGAGAAGCATGTCTCAATTACACAAGGGATTAATAGAGTATGTAAAAGTAAAAAAAAAAAAAACATAAATAAAACATTTGGGTGTAACAGTATTTTTTTAAAACGCTGAAGGAAAAGATGCCCATAAAGTCTCACTACAAGTCTTGTTAATATTGATATGCATTACCTCAATGGCAGTGGAGATTTTGACCAGTGTGTCCACCTGGTACAAGCCAGTTCTCCTCCCCTGACACACCACAGAGACAGACAGTGTTTGTGAAAAGCTCCAACGTCGCTCCACATCACCATTTCATGGTGCTAGATACACGGAACGACCATCAAACGGCAAGGTTAAAAACAGGACATCCTCACCTCTCCTCATGCAAGAACAAATGTCTCCTGGCTTTATAGACGCCCCATTAACAAAATGGCCGCCGCTGGGTGCAGCATAACTCAAATAGTGGGTTTACACTTTTCTCTTAAAGCAAAGAAATCTAAATAAACCTTAAATTATCCTCAGATCATTTACTCAACTAAATGAACTTTAAATATTGAAATTACATTCTACCAGTAACTTAAACATGAAAGAAATTATTAGAAAGAAAACATTTCTCAGAAAAAAAAAACCCCTTCAGATGGTCCCCAGTGATGTCAGCAATGACATCATCAATCTGATAAATACCCAGGAAGTGCTGGGCTATCCCTGTTTAGCTGCATGGGACCACATGGGAAACTGAACAAACAGAGGTATGTATGGATAAGAGACAAACAATGACATTTTACAATTCCAGAAACTAAATGAAAATGGCTGAACTGAATCAAGACTGTGTGTTTGCTTTAAGTTAATTTATACTCTGATGTGAACTGTAACTTAATGCTAACACAAACAAACCAGGGGTAGTATAGTGCTGCAATGTTACACAAGCAAATACACGACTGTAATTAATAATGTGGTTTGATATCAAATGAAGATTTATGTGACAAGTGATGAGTAAGAAATGAGCTTCTCACCCACTTTGTTACAATGTTAGGTTAAGTTCTCTTGTTTTCTGAAAGCTGCCAAGAAATATTTGGAAATCTCTCAAATCTTTTCTGAAGTGTTTGTTTTACCAAAGATTACCTCATTAAATGTGTAAATTACTTGATTTTATAAGTTTATTGCATCTGAAAATGCTGAGAAAAGTGACAGATAAATGGTAAATGCAGCAAAAGAAAGATAACTGTTTCACCTTCTTGGTGGAAATGTTTTTACCAACAAGCCAACACAGTACTTTAGGTAAAAACATGTGTGAATGTTTAGATGTGCATCTGATCTGCTATTAAAGGTTGAAGAACTGAAGTCGGTTGGTTTCTATGATAAAATAAATAACCTGTAGAGATGATACCTTTTTTTTAAAATGTTATTTGAAAGGAAGTTGAAAGTTTCCACAAAAGCAAAGCGAACCACTAAAAATATTTAAACTAAACTGATTTAAGTTGACTAAAATATGAATATATATTCAATTTAAATGATGAAGTCATTTAACTCAATACATTAGGTGGATTAAACTTTTGAGAAAGTCAAAAGAAATTGATAGAACATTTTGCCTTGACTAGATAATTTCACAGGAACTGAATTGTTTGTACTTAAAGATTTAAGTACTACTGACTTGATGTCAAGTTTATTTGACTAGAAAATTGTGTTTCTTTGGAATAATCACAAATAATTCTCAACTTATCTTTTTAAGTTCAGTTAACTTAAAATTTTACTGCAGCCCGGACACTAACTTTAAGTTATAACAACTAGGTTTTTTTTTTTTTTTTTTGTGTGATGAATAAAAGTCTTGCAACACTATGGCTCCAAAAGGTGAACTTATTCATGTACTATATGCATTAAACCCCCCCCCCCCCTTTTCAGCCCGACCGCGATCTTCAGGTGGAGGTCGGAGCAGGCCGTGCATGAAAGAGGACGGCGGTGGTTGTGGTGACGATACAGTCCGATAGTATTGGCTTGGCGTCATGGACGTCAGGTGGTAGCAGTGCCAGATCACCTTGCTGAAGGTTGGGAGGAGCTCAGTCTACTCGAGAGCCTGGCTTCTGCTGCCGGGACACGACCTCCTGGGCTTATAGCACAGAAGGGGGGAGGGGGGAGCGGGGAGCCATAGTGTTGTGAGTCTATGCATCATATCCAGTGATTTTTTTTTTATTTTTTATTTTACTACTCAGCACCTGCATAAGGGATGTGCTTGTGTTTGTTGACTTTTACTGGACTGTGAAGGAAAAAAACAACTTTAGTAATGCTCCTTCTTTAAACTGGGATGTATATCAATTTTAGCCTGCTGTTGCTTCCTGTCTTCTAGTTGCATCAATTCTTGTTTTAAGTCCATGTCACTTTTTTTTTTTGACAAGGTTTTTCAGGCAATCCTGTGCCAGCACTGATTCAGCCTCTCTCTCATTCATATGCAGTCTTGGAAAAAAATAAATCAATGCAGCAAATGGAATTGTGAGTGTCTGAGAAATAACATTTAGAGAGTGATGCACTTTATTCCAAGCATCCGCCCAACATAACTTTAAGATAAAATGTTTTTATTTGAAAAAGAAACCCTCTCCCACGCTCTCTGCCCCCTGAGAATGCTTCAATGAAATGCAGCTGTTAACATTCATGTATGCAGATTGGGACTCGACTCTATCGCAGGTACTGTGGCAAAAAATCAGTCAAAGCTATCCTTCAGCGCAAGCAATGCATTCATAGAAAAACATGAAATCACACAAAGGTACTTCAAAGATATCTCCCTTTAGTACTGCTGTACAAGGGAGGACACACATTAAAACAATGATTAGATGCACACACACACACACAAGAACATGCATTCACACAAGGGTGCTTGTGCCTCCTCTGCTTTCGAGACACGGTAAATAACCACTTCGCTGCCACCCGAGACCGGCAATTTATGCATGAAGAGGATGCAATGAGAAAAAAAAAAAAGGCGTCCAATTCCACACACACAATCATTGTCACACACAGCAACATGTTAATCTCGTGTAGCATGTGGCCGTAGTGGAAAACATGATAAGTTAAATTATATGTGCTGATTGAGACTATGCACAAAAATAATTTAAAATGGAAAGAGAGATGAGGGAGCCATGCAAAAATATATACATACACACATGAGTTTTTCCCCATATATCCATAATAGATATGCAATGCTTATGGTGCACACACTGTCAATTTCACACAGACATCATGGCACCCATGCTTTTCAGTGCAGGGAGCTGAAGAAAAAGCCTTTTACACAGACACTCTCCCCTTTTAAACACTATTGAATATAGCTGGACCCTGATGGTGCAGACTTGGTCGGAGCTTGATGGGTATTGCAACAAGAGTAATTAAAGCGGCTGACAGCCAGACCGGGGCGGAAGAGGACATTACCAAGCCGGATCTTAGAATAATTATTTAATTCTGTTAAAAGCTCACTATGCTGTCTGCTGGAGAGCTTAATAGAAATTTAGTAGCACAGGTGATGAGAACTGTCAGCAGATTTGCTTCCTGCATGCAGAACTTCCTCTGGAGTAACCGGAGACCGTGTGTGTGGTTAAAGCCTAACTCATCCTTCATTGTTTAGCCACGGAGCAGATGACAGTGATTCTGGGGGGCTCTGTGTAAAGGAGACAGCAGAGGCCACACAATCGGTTGAATCGTAAAATAGTCGTGACAGCGGAGCGGATTCTTTTTAGATTTCATAGGTATTTCTTGATGATTTCATTGTTTCCTTCATTTTGGTTCCTCAATAATTAATGACACACATACATGCTGCAAGACATTGTAACCCTGTGCCATTATCAAACAAAGCTTTGTTCTCTTTTATCTTTCTGATGAGAGTAACTCATAATGAGGCGTGTACCTGACCCGTTCAGGCAGGCGAGGTGTAGCTGTTTGTCAGGAGGCCTCAGATCCAGCTCTGCCTGTTGGCAGGTTGACCGAGAGACATTTTGAAAAAACACTTCGGTATGGCGACCACCATTGACATGCTTCAAGAGTTCAAGAGTCAACTTCAGTAACCAATGGTTGATGTCACTGAGGCATCATCCATGTTTATTGACGGTCTCCGTGTGCAGTGGCTGTTGTCCTCTTTGCAGCGGCCGTGGGTTCAGGTCAGACCAGGTCCTTTTTCTGCACGTCGTCCCCCACTCTCTCTCCCGTCTCTCTTCAACTTTCCTATCCAACAAAGGAAAAGAAATTGCCCAAATAATAACTTAAAATAAAAAAATAAAAATAAAAATACAGTCTAATGTCATTTCTATTGTTATTTACATCTTAATATCATTTGTTTTTTGAGGTTTGACTCTGATCTGACAGCTGTGGGACTTTACCTGCTGAGATCACTGAAAAACAGAAAAGAAAGAACTCTGAAAAACAGTCTATTGTTGTGACCTGATAAGATCTTAAAACAAAAAAAAAATGCCACAAAGCACACATCATAAATATTTAATCTTAAGGCTTATAATATGCACTGAAAGGACTCAGCAAGGGGGAAACAATAGGACCTTAAAATTCTTCCTTCTGAGGCAGCGATCCAACCAAAAGTTACCTTTTTGTTTCCAGTCTCAATGTCGCTCGAACTCTCGTTTTTGATGATTTGTAACTTAAAGACAAGAGGCTAATAAAAAATCCTCTTTATTTACCAGGTAACTAACCCATTGAGATCAAGATCTCTTCCACAAGAGGGCAGTAGCACACGTCAAGATAAATATTTAATTCTCTGATTTCAAATTCAGGGCCAAATCTTGATTCGTGCCAGGTTGGAAGTAATCATGCAATCGCTGTACACAAAGTCTGATCGTACTTAGTGCACCCATTTATCCTGGGAAAAAAAAAGCTGAAGGAGCTGGGGATCAAACCCCCGACCTTCCGGTTGAGATTGACCAACTCTACCGCTGAGCCACAGCCGCCTCTTGTGTTCATGCTTATATTCTGTACAAGAGCAATTGCAATGCTTGGCTGCTCAGTTATCGTGATCAAAAGAGAGGCAGGTAGTTCTTGGTTAACAGCTGGAAAAAGAATCCATAATGTGCTTCCTAATAAACTACACTAACGTGATAAAACTAAATCCATTGTTTTCCTGTAAAAGAACGGTAAAATCTCCTGCATTGAGAGCAGCTCTGCATCAAATCAATTACTCAAGTCACCTGAGAACCAGCATCTTCCTTGAACAAACATGCTCTCACACTCACACAAACAGAAACGCTGCACATCTGCTTCAAAGAGCCTCCGCGACCCTGTGAGACATACGAGCATCACTACAGGGAATCTGCAAGTGAACTGACATAATAAACTAAAACCCACAAACACATCATCAGCTGTACACACACACACACACACACACACACACACACACACAGAGACATGACAAGATGTCTTTGTTCTCGCAGATTCATGTCAGCCGCACTTTCCTCAGTTGGGCCCAACAAATGTAGCGAGCTGGTGGAGTCGGCCTCATAAATAGTTGCATGTAAATTACCCCCGGGTGTTCATATCGACTTGCTCAAATGAGCTAGGGTCTGCCATGTTGCAATAAACCACTTCTTTTTTTTTTTCCACTAGTACACATACACACAAACACACACACAGAGGCTTAACCGAATGTAATTTACCAGCTGCTTTCTAATGGGGCTTCATCTTTCAATATAAATGTTAATAATCTATGATTACTCTCTGCGTGGCAACACAGGGAGCCCAGCTTTTTCTTTCACGTGTTTATGGAAGTTTTCCTCTCTCCTCTGCCTCTCTTCGATCTTTCGCTTCATGTCTCGCTTGCTTTTGGGAAAATGTTTTTTTTTTAATAGAGACATCAAGCGAGAGATTATCATCTTTTTTTTTTTTTTTGCCAACATGGAGGAAGACGACTGCAGGAGCTGTTGCGTGCATCATTGACTTTCTATTCTAACCATCACCTAATTCTTTTTTCCCTTTAGTGCTTTGGAATCCGTGCGAACTGGGAATCAATTCATAAATAATCGGAATGATTGAAGTATAAACGCAGAAAGCAGAGCTGTCAGTTTAAAAAGGCTTGAGAATAAGTCGAAGCCCAAATCAACTCTGGAGTTGTTATTAGAGTAAATATGTATTGCACATGAATCACTATGAAAAACATATTTCTATGATATCTTTTCAAACAGCTGATTGGCAGCTTGTTACCAGCTTGTAGCACAACAGCAGAAAGAGAAGTGTTTCTGTGGAGGGTCACAGTGACCTGCTCCAAAATCATGTTGTTGTTGTTGTTGTTGTTGTTGTTGTTGTGAAGGTCTGTCTAGCTCAGTTTGGTCCCATCAGTTTCCTTTTGTCTCCTCTACCTGCATGCAAGTGTCCGACGTCAGTGTGAGGGAGAACATTTACATATCTTAAAAACTGTTGAGTTTCCCCAAATGGATGTTGAATATTAAGTCAAAGTTTTTATTCATAATGACTTTTTTTTCTAATGAGGAATTCAGGTTTCTAGGCCGAAAACATTTTATCAAAACAAAGTCCTCTGAACAAGAACAATCACATAATTACCATCAAAGTATTACATTAGAAAAGGATGAAGTCTATTATACAAAGTACAATTAACTCTGAGCGGCAGCCAATATGACCGATGTGGATGTAGCGGCAAAGCGATTAAAATATAATCGTAGTGAGGCAAAACGCCACGGGTGAGGGTGAAGCTTGTTGGCTTTTACCCTGGGGACGCTGAGTTGGCCTGCTTTGTGTTGGACAGGCAGACGCCAAACACCGGCTGTTAGCTTGTAGTGTAGATACTTAAGCAGTAAACATACACACTATGTCCTGCAGTGAGTGTGCACTTCTGAAGGTGAAGAGCTCAGGAGGAGAATGTTCTGCTGTAACAAACAATGCTACAACTTACTCTACCTTTGACCTTTTTTCGATTGATGTCCCCATTGGCAGCACAACATTTTTCAAAAACCTGAAGAGTTTCTACTCAGAAAAGCTAAGAGTTTTGGTTAAAACCATTTTTTTGTTCAAGGTATGAACAACTACAGTGTTTTTTTTTGTAGGACAAACAGCAGTCTAACATAGAAGAGACATACATTATTGCTGATCAACCTTTACCTCCTTCCTTTGTGGAGTACATTTGCGTCTCCTTCCTTCTTCCCCTTTAAAGGATGACAGCAGAAATGTGATGGCAACTTTGTCACTTGAGGATAATGTGGCGACCCCTGGTGTCACCAAGTATGTATTGTTTGCTTGTGCCTGATCACAGATTAGGGTGGTAATCGGTGTCAACACCTGGGCCCGGTGCTCCCATGCAGGTTATATAATCAAGGCCCTGTTGCCCATTCTAGCTCTCTGCTGCTTCTGGTTCGTATTGTTGGAGTTGTACTCATTTGTTGATCTCTTCTTTGCAGCCAGTGGTGTGAGGACTGCAGCGTGGCCTCATCTTATATTATGCTTTGTACACTTTACAACGTACACCCTACATTTTCTAACTACACTGATATTCAC